CTGAAGGGAGGGACACTTTCAAAGGCTTATGAAGTTATATCTACCTGGCTAAAAATACACCTTCTGACAGCATGTGCTCACTATAAAGCAGGTAACGATAATTTTAGTCTACAAACTAGAGTGAACCCAATTAACCCACGGAGGTGTCGCTGATAAAGCGAGGATTACAGTTTCATGATGCCGTTATCACAATATTTAAAAACACTAATGTCGGGTAAATAGGTCAGCTTGGCTCAGACTGAAAGATGCGATAAATTTCACTCACGTGTGTTGATCTTCTGCAGGGAGATATGTTTCTCGAGCTGACGTCGCAATTTGACCTCAGCACCATACTTTCCTGTGGTGCCGTTGTCCGCCAGGATGAAGTGGGAGTGGAGACTGTTAAGAACCGTCAACTTGCTCATCGGGTTGGACATGGTCTGGTATGGACGCACCACCTGGCCAAAAGAAGTCAATATTTAACAACTATGCAAACACTGCACCTTTCTTAGAATACAAATTTAAAATTACGGCCTGCTCCTGTTCTCAAGAGGTTTTCACTACTTTTGCTTTTGCATCTAAAGTTGAATGTATGCCTCAAGAGAGCATTGCTGCCCAAAGCTTTAAGAAATATGAGAAAAATAACCGTAAGGATTTCATGTGGGGTGAGCTTGGGTTGTGCTTTGAGACTTGATGGATATCCTATGCTACAAGCTGGGCCATAGATTTTTAAAGGCATTAGCATTTCACAAGCAGTGTGATACTATAATGGCTCCATGGTGCAGATGCAAAAAAGATCCCCAGTTTAAGACAGACTAGGAAGGTTGGGTCAGAAAGAGCACATGAAAAACTGCCAAATCAACTATGTGGAACCATCTGCTGTTGTGACCCCTTGCGAATGAGGGAGCAACTGAAGGAAGTGTTACAGCAGAGGGAGACTATCACAGAGAAAATGCTCGCAGTGAAATCACGAGTAGGATGAACAGAGACAGGTAAAAAACCTGTCTCATGCAAGTCTTTCAAGAGTAATAGATTACTCAAGATGCTGAGCATATTGTCAAGTTAATGGTAGATAATTTATTTAGTAATTACAAAAATTAGCATCACTCTGGTATACTGGTGGTGACAGTGCAGTGGTTGTAACTGTTGCCTAAAGCAAGAAGGTCCTAGTCAGCTGGGGTGTGTTGTCCCAAAGACACACTTATGGTTGTGTGGACGGTGACCCCTCATTAGTATACTTCGCCTTTTGCCCTGTGACGGCTGTGACAGGGACCATCTGCACTGCAGCTCTAATCATTTTTTGGATTTGGAGTTGCCATGTATCCAATAATTATTAACATAACTTTCATTGTACTGCTGCTGAAATTAAACTTTCAGTTTCTCCAAAGTTTCTCAGATATATATAATACCGCAACACTGTCTGACACTTTGAGGTAAACTCATCTGGTCGTATATATATAGCCTATATATACAGCTAAAACCAATCACGCATGAGAAAAGAACCTCGACACTTAATCAGCTCATTTCAGTCACCAACATTAATTGGTTCTGGCTGACTTATTCAGAGGGACAGAGAGCGGGACATTTTGATGATGAAATTTTAACAGTAGCGTAACACTGATTCCCAGAGATTTCACTGAGTCAGCATGGGCCTCATTTGGTTTCCCCAGCTGTCCAGCTCACTGTGAAGGAGTGTTTATTGGCTTACTCAGCATCTCAGTGAATAAGCTGTCAATAGCACTTTATAGCCTCAGCCCTATCTACCCTAAAGACCTATCTGTCTATCTGTCTGTCTGTCTGTCTGTCTGTCTGTCTGTCTATCTATCTATCTATCTATCTATCTATCTATCTATCTATCATCACAGACTTACATCTTTGCCAACAAGGTCCTCTTGATTTTCTACGATGCCCCATGGAGCAATACCAATGGTGCATATCTTTCCCCTTGACTTGGAGGCGTGGTCTTTCAGTGCATCACCCACGTGGCGAATCACACCTGTGTGTGGACATAGGCATGTGTGCATGAATATTCACGGCTTTTAAGAGACGGACAGAGAGAAAGATGTTTTGTCACAATCAATACGCAGCCAGTCAGATAATTACGTACACTGCTGAGATAGATAAAAAGAATCTGTTAAGCACACAAGACAACTGTGTGGAGCCACTGTTAACACACACAAACACAAACGCACACATACACACTTAAACGCAGCCAGGTTGTAGCTCTCGGCTTGTAGTAGTTGTCCTCAGGGGAGCAGCAGTCAGACCTGGGGGCCATCTTATCTCATCTCTCCAGCTGACATTCATTCTTTTCTCCACCTCCACACACTGTCCCTCCAATCCAGCTATCCATTATTCAGGCCTCTCTTCCTCTTTTCTCCTCCTGCACCCATTCTGTCACTAAATCTTACTTTCTACTCCTTTCTGTATTCAAGTGCGCGCACTCTACATCATCCAGCGTTGTATCATTTCTTTTTGTCTGTTCTCATCTCTCCTATTTAAACATTATTCTGCCGCCTTTTTATCTTATTTTAAGTGCGCTAAATACAATCTAAGATACTTAAATAGCATCTCTTTTTGTGCCCTGGAAACAATACAAGGTAAAAATAACAGTTAACTTCCTTACTGAAGCCAAAGTGAAGCTGATAAGATAAGGCACATTTTCCCCCATAGACATAAAAGTACTATATGAATGTGTAATGTGCGCTTGTTCAGAGCGTTAGTGTTAGTTAGCGCTGAGGCCTCTTTCTATATACATGGCAACAGCATATTTATGAATAATTCATGTGCTTCCAGTCTGCCAGCTAACACTCTGGCTTCCTGTATCCATCCAACCAATCTTGTTTCACCACTTACACTGTTGCACAGTCTTATTTCTTCAAGCTTTGAAACTTTGATCCTGGACTTTTTCACACTTTCACCCTTCCAACCTCAGCATTCTACATCCAGTCCTCTGAGCTCCTCACTTACTCTGCTCTGAGCCAAAATCATCCAAAACAAAAAACAAACAAAAAAAACCCTCCAAGCACCAAGACTAGGAGACTTCCTTAGCCTTAGAAGACTGCTTCCTTAAAGCAGACATCTCTGTGATTTCTCTACACTGTAACTGATTCCTCTACACTGTAACAGCAAAAAATTCTATATTAATTAGTTAGCACTCTATATTTTGTTTCTATTCTCTTGGGTCCATATGGACTATTACTAAGCTAGAACGTTTTATTACTTTGTTCAAAAAGTAAGAATGCTTGACAAGTGTAAGATTTTGATCGTCCTTAATTTCAGGCCTTCTCTCATGCAACTAATACTGGAATAATAACTCTTAATCTGAACGAGCCACCCTGTCATCAAGTTTAAGTCATTAAAAAGCAGTCTAGACTACTTGACATACTTTCACTGTATGCTCACAGCCATTTTACAGTGATCCAGTGGCTGAACAGCTTTAGAGCCTAGACACACTTGACAAATGGTTATTTAATAGCTGATAACTTACGATAAAGACTTGAACACACTCATAATACCCCAAATTGAAGTGCCCACTTAATTTTTATAAAAAGGAAGATGGCTGTGCAAGGCTGTATGCAATCTCTCTGTTTTGCAAACATGAAATTTTTAAGTTTGTCTTCATAAGTCAAAACCCGTGGTTTACCTGTGTTGACTCCCCCAGTGAATATCCAGGCCCCTGTTGTCATGGCAGCCTTGATGAGCCCTTTGCCAAAGACCTGCTTGAGTTTGGGCTGCAATTCAAAGTTCTGCAGGCCCCCGTGGACTGAGATGAGCAGCTTGGGCAGTTCCAGCTGCCACTCCTTGGTCATCAGGTGGAGCAGCAGGTCAGGCTTGGTGTCATAAGACACTCGTACGTACTGCAAACAGCATGAAGCGTGTCAGTGAAATAAAGCAATACATACAAATGTAGTAAAAAGAAAAAAAAGGTTATGTGTCTTAAAATGGTAAATGGCCTGTATTTGTATAGTGCTTTATCAATCAATCAATCAATCAATCTTTATTTATAAAGCACTTTTCATACAAAAAAAAAAAATGTAGCACAAAGTGCTTTACATGGTTAAAAGCAGCCCCGAGCCACCATAGGGCAGGGGGCAAGTTAAACCCTGAACCGGTCACCAGTCAGTTGTAGGGCTAACACAGAGCGACAGACAATCATTCGCACTCACATTCACACCTATGACCAATTTAGAATCACCAAATAAGCTAACCTAGGTTAACTGGCAGATTTATTGCTGTGCATAAATCAATATTTATATAGATAATTGTGCAATACTAGATACTGAAACAGCTACATCTCAGACTCTACAGGCTTCACTTAGCATGTTAAATATTAAAGTTCATGACAAGTAATAAGAAGAAGATGAAACAAGTATGACTTATTTCGACAGTTTCCCAGGAGAAAGCCTCTTCTGTATAAAAACAACATGGCAGTATAATTTCGGTTTTTGGCTTAGTTGTTAAATAAATACATTATAGTTCATCAGAGGTTGTATTTCGCTCATTTTAAAACCAGCTACAGTCGAGATAATTTTATTTTGTCTGGATATATCAAACCTTAGAATTGACATACGGTGTACTTTGTTTTTACCACGACTTTCTGCATTACATTCAGGTATATGGTGTCTTGGGGACGGAGTATTTCACCGCTGTGACGACTTATGTATATGATAACGTAAAAAGCATTGGTGTTTCATATGTGTCTATGCGTATGGATTTCATTTCTCAAGTTAGAAGACGTATTGAGCAGATGTTTTCTATGATTGAAGAACCACATACATTATGGAGCATCTGTTTATCCCTCTAATGCACCCTCAGAAAGCCAACCTGACATGTGTCTGGATGAATAATTTAACACTGGGAAAAAAATCAGACATAATTTGGGTTTAATCATCTGAATTCCCAGATTGCTGCAGTAAAGTGTGATATGACTTTCTTAGTGTAGCTATCATAGTTTGTGACTTTGCGAATAAAACGTACCATCCGATCCCATTAGGGATGGATCAATTAATCAGGCAAAATGCAGTCTGCTAACACTCATAACACTTAAGTCTTTTAAAGCAATAATTACACATATTTCCACAATAATTCCAGTAATTTGATTGATTCCTCAGTTATCTCCAGGTCTTCTGATTGGACACATTTGTCATTCTCCATAATGCATACAATGAGCCCTGATGAGTCCTCTTGTCAATGTCATTTTTTATTCAGCAACCCGCAACTATTCATCTATTTTCAGCTGTGTTACATCTGCCATTCAGGAAAAAAGTATTTCAGTTATCTAGGAATCAAACAGTTTCCTCCTCTGTACCTGCGTGCTGTCAAACAACATGTTTACTGAAGCTTTGAAGAATATCTTTAGATCACATTATGCACTTTCAGCTTTCATCACTTTCTGAATATTTTTGAAATCCTCTTCTTGAATTACTCAGTCTTTACTATCTCTATAATCAATTTATGTGGCCATTTTTCATAAAAAAAGCATGTGCTCAACATTATTACTGTATTACTTTTATTTTCATATTTCCAGAAGACAGCACTTCCATCAGAGGTCAGGTTCCTTTGTACTGTTTGGAGGTATATTTTAGGAGATCTAAATCCTCTACTCTCTTCTTTCTTGTCTTATGAGGTTAACTATGGACTTTAAAATAGCTCAGTAAAGCATACAAATGCACTTTTAAAGCTACACAAAGTAGATTTCCTGCACTGGTGCACTCAGATATGTGTCACCAAAGGTTCTCGAGTCTTAACGGAAACATGAGTTGCAACGGCTGAGGTCAGTGCTGCATGAAATAACAACAGAATAGTGACTCCTTTTATTTAGGTGCCCTAATGCTCAAAACAATCACGTTGACCAGTACCATAAAGCTCAAGCTTTGTGTGGGCAGCATGCTGAAGGAGAAGACTAATAAAATGCAACACTGTGTAAAGAGAGTCACCATGGCTTTGTTGGAGTGTCCTCCTCCCTGGAACTCAATGGTGCCGAAGGCATCAGTGGGGCTGAGCTGTGTGTGTTTGCTGATTGACCACTTCTCCGACAGGCTGTCATTCTTGGCCAAACGCTCTGCCTTATCATTCTGACTAGATGAGATGCCCGGTGGCAAGCCCACATGCTGACCTATTAGACGACCACAACAGCACCTGAACAAGAGGAGAAAGTAAGAGTGAGTGTAAGACCGGTATATTACACAGTCCTTTGCAGAGAATAATTGAAATCTTGAGAAGTGCGAGCCCCGAGCAGGAAGAAGAAAAAGGAGAGTAAGAAACAAATTGTGTGTGACTGAGAGCGGGGGGAGAAAAGAGCGTGAGAGCTGCCGTAGTATGTATCTAGCAATAAAAGGTGGGCATGGCTGAAGGGATAGCATGCCATCCAACTTTCATCTCTTTACTAAGCTTGATTTATAGTCCTGCATAGAATAACAGAGGAGCAAATATTAAATTTTGTGCAAGTGGCTGTTTGCCGTTATGCTTGAGCCTGCATTGCTCTGCCTCCATGGATGGAACTGAGGTGATCTTGTAGCTGATCCATACTGAACAACAGCTCTCTTGCTGAAACACGGGAAAAGCTTTAGTGGCAATTAAGTCTACACACAGATCGTCAAAAACTATCAAACCAAGAAAGAGGTGCATGTCTACACTGATGGAATCTGTGCAATTGTATTAGCCTTGTAAGCAAGCCAAGTACAACTATAGCCTGCATCATGTTTACACAGCTTATTAAAATCAAAGGAAGCAATCCCAACTGTTGCATTTAGTTATATTTCTGGGAAGGTGTGAATCAGGCTAGGCTCTGTGGCTATGTTGCAGACGAGTGGAAGGATTTGTGGGCTTTTGCTAAATTTTCTCAGCTCCATCCCTTTCTGTTTTCTGTACCTGTCGCTTTCACTTCCTTTTCCCTCTCAGCAACTACAAGAGTTAGCAAAATGGCAGTTATGATGCTTGCGTACATTCTTATTCACAAGTGCTGAATGCCGCTTTTATACTCTGTGTTTAAATCTTACAGGATGAAGAGGGAGCCCAGGGAGGAACGGAGGCAGGAGACTGCGATTATCACTTCATGTTTCCATCATGTCTTACCAAAGGTACTTTGCCTTCCTCTTCCTCTCGCATGAGCACAAGTGTCTCTGACTAAAAAGAATGAGCTGATTTGATCTTGAGGAACATTTTTTTTCCTTCGTCTTGCTTCTGGCTTTCACTCGTTTTCCTCTAGTAATGCAAAATTTCCGTACCAAACAAACTGTGGCATTTCCTCTGTGTGTGTGTGTGTGTGTGTGTGTGTGTGTGTGTGTGTGTGTGTGTGTGTGTGTGCCACCTGATAGTACATGCAGGAGAATTGAGAGAGTTTGTCTTCCAGCAAAAATAACATCAGGTTTTCTAATGATTTTGATAATCTCAAGGTGACAGTGAGATTGTAAAACAAAATGAAAAATGAATGTGGTGGTAATTGTGAATTTATCACACTGAGTCAAATTGTTCTAAAGTGTTGTTATCATTACAGTGTTGTTATAGCGCTGTATTATGTAAACAAAGCCCTCATAAATGTACTTTGACATAGACTATGCCAGAGTGATAAGGAGTTCTTCCTAAATATTCTTTTACAACAATGTAGAATATGTTACTGTCTTCATGAATTGGTCTAGACCTTAATTTTACATTGTCTAGTCTCACTAGATGTCAGAATATTGCAGATGGCAGTCAGCTGAGTTCTGTTTCTTACCTCTATCAATTCAAGTGTGTAATCCTGTCTATGGTATCCACTACAGGACAAACAACTCTGGCTGCTGTTCATCTGCAGTGAGTGTAGGCTGTAAGTCTGATGTTTACCTAAGTAACATGTCTATCTACTGTGGTTAATGTTGAATTTCAACAAGGCTTTAAAACTTTTTTGTCAGTAAGCATTGATGTTTTTGCTGCTGTTAGCCTCTGTTCTGTTAGCCGCTGTTAGCCTCTGTTCTGTTAGCCACTGTTAGCCTCGGTTCTGTTAGCTGCTGTTAGCCTCTGTTCTGTTAGCTGCTGTTGGCATCTGTTTGTTGCCGCAAGCCAGGGATACTATAAATCTGACATTTTTGGACTCCGACACTTAATAATAGAATAAGCTTTAATTCTAGGTGATAATGTAATCAGATTATCAAAGGCAAAGTATGATTTTTGTAGAACACTTGAGCCTAATGTTAGCTCACATAATGTTAGCTTATAACTAGCTGTTGTTGCTGTTGTTTAGCTATCTTGTTGTCATCTGTCCAGAGACAGGAGGGTCACATGTTTAACCTGCTGACATTGAGTAACTGTAACAATATCAGGAACAAATAAGCATGTCTATGCACGTTTTTGTGTGTAAGAGCCCCGATTTCAGTTCAGGAGATGAGGCTGGAGGTGAGTAGGACGAGGATGACATTTTATTCAGATGCTGGTCATGTTGTCTCTTTCCTTTGCTTTTTCACTTCTTTGGTGAAGGGGACTCCTTTTCAGAAGATAAAACATAGGTATGATCTTTCATAACTGGAGTCTGACCGTGTTCCCTTCTTCTTTGATGTACTATACATGTGGCTAGTCTCTAGTCACATACATAAAGTGAGATTAGGCAGAACTGTGACTATAAGTATAACATTCTTTATAATAATAATAATGATTATCATTACTATTATTATTATCCGCAGAAAACAACTGTACCTTTAAATTCCCAATTTGTGTTTTAAAATGCATAATGTCAGTGTTTTGGTTCATTAATGCGAAGCTCTTGCCTGCAGTGTCATTAGAGTTACTCTGCATGTTTTAAAAGGTCAACAGCAAAACAACAAACTCTACAATGATGCAAAGGATTGTAAAGATTAAAGATGTAAAGATTTTTGGTTAACACTTTCTAATATCCCTTTTCTGTACTCACCTATGGGGGTCTTTGGCGCTCACTATGATATGAACACATTCTCTCTTGCTGAATGCTCTTTCTATCCACGATTTCTGTGCCTGCAACAAAAACAAGACAAAAGAAAAGACAAAAGAAGTCAGTGTCAAATAAAGGAGCTAAGGATTGAACATGGAGAAGTGACACACAGCAAAAACAGCCTTACATTAGTCCATCAAGAGCTCAGAGTCCCGCTTTGTTGCATGGCAAACAGAGCATACAAAATAGGACCTTGGAACAAATGCCTTAAAAATACTTAAAAAACATCTCAACCTTGTTCAAGAACGGCAATCACAGCACAGTGGAATGACACAAATATGCAGACGCAGCACACACACAAAGACACATGTAGTCCCTGACCCATTATTCAAACACTGACACTCGGATAGAGAAATGTTTTATGTTACTCAGTGGCTAGATCTCAAACCAGATGAGATGAAGAGCTTGGATGTCGAAAAGGGATGATAAATGCACTGAAGCGGTAAACTATGTCAGAGGTCTAGTCCTTAGACGTGCATATGTGTAGCCAGCTTAGTGTGAGTATATTCCAGCTTCATGTATGGGTGCACATTTGTTCGAAAAAGTGTGGGTAGATGTTTCTACGTGTGATTTGAAGCAGCTTGTGAAATGATGCTTTTGTGAGACACATGTGCTCCGGGTCTGAGTGACAGAGTGTCTGACTGGAGTTAATTACCTCGCTAAAGACATGACAGACACACAGTGGAACCACATGTGCAGCACAGGAAGAGAAATTATTAAAGTGCTTTTTCTGGTCTTAGCGAACACTCAAATCACTTTACACTACAAGGCATAATTATTGCTTTTTTTAAATAAATATCAAGATCACATACACACACACACATACACAAACACATACACACATTGATGGATGTATCAAAGGTAGTTTTTTGGGTTCATCATGTTGTCCAAGGGCATTTCCACATGTACATTGAGGAGGAGCTGATGATCGAATCCCTGACCTTGTGATTAGTGTATGAGCCGCTCTGCCTCCTAATCTGCCACACATTGATATACAGTAGATACTTCCACACATCGAAGCATGATTAAATACCGACCCATAGCAACCTCAGAGTTGTGATAGCACTGAACAATTTCTGGCAGAGGTTACAGTGACCTGTAAATAATAATGTTGTATTTTCACAATATATAAAAAGTAAGACGGCTAACAGGTACCGTGAAATGTCACAAGGCGAAATAACTAAATCTTTTTTGACATTTGCTTTGAAAATCCCCCTCAGCACTATAAGGGAAAACACTGCTGTTTTCTGGTGGTATTTTCCTGTGTGTGTGTTTCTGCTTTCTATCACGTTGCTACTACAAGGTGATTATCGGCATGTCAGCTTAAGTGTTTCTTCATTGATTCGTTACAAGCTAGATACATTTTAATGCCACGCCAAAAGAGATCAATGTCTTTGCTTTCCCTTTTATTGTAATTGTATTTTAACTTTGGAAGTAAAAGTTTCTAGGAAGAGACTACGGGAAGTTTTGTGAGACACCAGAGGTCCAGAACAGGACCGAATGTCATTCAGCCAACCAGATGAGATACCCAAACTCACAGAGCAGAGGGAGCAGAACGGCCATGAAAACAAAAGAACAGAGCTTTTTTTTTTCTACTCTGGGAGAGCTGCCCCAGCTTTTCTCCCAGCCAGCAGAGCAAAGAGCTGCTTGTACAGGGCTTTCCCCACAACAACACACGCCCCATCCGCCTGACTGGCCCTGTCACACCAAGGTACGGCAAAACCCACCGCAACTGTCCACAATCAGGCCGGGCCTGCACACAGCTACACTTACCCTAACACCAGACTTCCCACGATTAACCATTACTCTGGGGGGCTGACGGGGCTGCTTTTTACAGATCACCCAGCCACGATGACTCAGCGGGCCACAACAACACCCCCAGCCCCATTCTTTCTCACATTCTAAACCTGTGTATTCATCCGCCAGCTACCCTTGGCACAAAATAGATCGCTTACATGTTTTGTTTTGTTTTTAGAATTCTTAATATTGACTGAACTGATTGCAAAATCACCAGCAGCAACACAAAATTGGCTGCTGGTGAGTTTCTGGTTTTAGAAGTAATGACCAGAGTGGGTCTACCCAAGAAGATCCAATACAAAGATTGTCTTCCCCCTGGATCCCCCCTGTGCAGGTCTGAATTTCCTTCTTTCTTCACATACCAGATACACATTTGCTTGCATCTGATTTTCTTGCTCTTGCTCTTCTATTCTTTTATGTTGCTTATGAGATTTGACATGGTGTGATGAGATGGCACATGGCCTGCACTCCATTGTGTAATTAAGATTTATCGCCAAGGAGCACTTGTACACACGCACACACAGACATGTCTAGCAAAATATTGGACTGATTCTTATGCGTGCATGTGTGTCTCGGGCCTGACATGCAGCAAGTGTGCAGCATTTGACAGTCTGTAAGGGTCCTTGACTCCATTACACTTCCACCACCTCCACCCTCTTCTCTCTGTCCTCTCATCCAGCTCCCTTACTATTGTGTCTCTTCTTTGTTATTGGCACTGGCAGGGAGCTGAATTGAGAACCATATCCAATCAGCCACCTAATCTGTCCGCTCGCTCCCTTTTCTTTATCTTTTCCTCTTAACGCACACAAATCACTCAGCTCTTATTTGAGCATACAGGTGAGCAGAGAATGTTTTAACATTAAATATATCGCCATCGCTTTTCTTCCTAGACTGCTTTAACTCTTTATCTTCTACTCTTTGTGGACCTCTTCGGTCACAATGAATTTATTTATACTGCCAGTTCAGAGATGAAAGAAAGAAAGTGGAAAAGCTGATCTTTACTTTTGGTTTACTTTGATTTTACACGCATCAGAAATGACATAACTCAAAAAGATATTGTATTTTGGAAAAAATATAAATGTCAGTAGATGCTAATCAAATAGCATCAAATGCAATCAAGATGAGTTACAATCAGGCCACATTTTTGATTATAACGAAAGATTAAGGCTTCATACCTCAAGTTGAAAGCAAAACAATTTAAGGTAGAAATAACAGCTTAATTACATAATTAATTGAGTTCTCGTTCGTATCGTTCCCACATTTAATTTAAAATTAGACAACTAGAGAATACCAATGCAAAGATTTAAATAGGATAGTGTGTAAGCTTTAATGTGCTCAGTTATCTTTGACACATGGCACCGTTTTCAGTTTTTCAGCCAGAATAGGATCTAAATAGAATCTCCACAAATAGAGTTTAAAAAAAGAGAGAAGTTGATGCAAATAAACATCAACTGCATCAATGATAAAAAAAAAAAAAAAGGTCAGGCTGCTATTTAGGGGTTTTTAAGAACAAGAGTGTGACGCACATGTGTCTGGATTTGTTAACTCACCTGTATTGTTTGATGTGCTGCACTGTTGTGGCCTTTCCTTCATAGTCAGTGTTGATGTTGGTGTTAGAGACATGATCCTGCCCAAAAAACTAGAAGCAACTAAAATAACTTGATCAGAGCACACCTGATCAGGCAACCTCTCTGTCCACGGGCAACTGATCTACTCAGGGACTGATATCACTGCTGGAATGTGTGTGCGTGTGTGTTAGTGTGTGTTTGCATGCAGGCGTGTGGATGTGTGGGCGGGTATTTCACTCGTGTTATGGGGACATGGCTCTGTTTTCACATTCATATTATTTTATTTTCCTTTTTCACTCTGGGTTTTTTTTTTAAATGTCTTTCAAAGACAATCAAATTTGAAAGTGTAAGTGTGTTTTAAGCCTGTTTTTAATCGTAAAGTGTATGATTAGTAATATTTATTATTTTTGGCTTAGTCACTTGAGAGTGTGCAATAGTGTGTATCCACAGTCTCTGCTAAGTTAACAAACGGAGGACTGGAATAAAATAATTTTAAAACAATCCTACATCAGAAACCAGCTAGCTAGCTAGTTACAAGAAATGCCATGAGTGTCTGACCTCTGTCAAATATTCAAAAGTCTGTGTCCTTTCTCAGAAACAGTGAGCACATCTACTTCTCTTCAGTACCTCACCTGTTTAAGCTTCAAATTTAGGTTGGAGAAACATTTTTTATGTGTATGTGTGCGTGTGTCCCTTAGCTACATTTCTGTCAGAGATCAAGACCCAGTGGAGTGTCTGAATGGCAGGACAGCCTATTAGGTGGAGAAATACGACATTCGTCTAGGCCTGCTCACCATCCTTATTTTGTCCTCAGTGACAAACACCCAGACACACACAGAGTTGTACATGAGTTTTTCCCTTCCACCTGCAGTTTTCCTGGTGCTTTTTTGGAGCGCGAGGGCATTTTCCAACCAGTTTTCATAAAGAGGATTAAGAGAAGTGGAGATAATACACACCAGGTTTAATTACCTTGAGCGGCAGGGGAAACTGGGCACATAAGACTGTAATCTCAAGTAAATTAAGTTATCAATGCACAAGCAGGACAAAACACAGTTGGGAATGAGAATGTACTTTCCAAAAAATGGTCATATTGCTTATTTTAAAGACAACAACAAAATGTGGATCTAAGCAAAATAATCAGAAACAAGGCTGTTCTGAAGTTTCACTGAGGTGTAGACCCAAGAATTTTACAACATTTACAACATTCAGAAGTTCAGCCTGATTAAAACATCTACTCTGGATCCCTGCATGTCGTTTTCCTTTGTATCTATTTTTACGTATCACACATTCCCCCACTCACCTATGGCCACGAGTTGTGTGTGGGTAGTGACCAAAGGAGTACGATTGCTGATACATGAACATCCTTTGAAGGGTAGCCGGGCTGTCACTTAGCAGTAAGGTGAGCAGCTTGGTCATCTGAGAGGGACTCAGAGTAGAGCCACGAGTCCTCCACATGGAAAGGAGCCAGTTGAGGTGGTTCACGCATCTGACTGGGCTTCCTCGTGGGCGCTTCCTAAATGAGATGTTTCAGGCACGACCTGGCAGGAGGAGGCCCTGGGGCAGATACAAGATGTACTGGAGAGATTATATCTCTTGGCTGGTATTCCCCAGACAAACTGGAGGAAGTGGCCAGGTATCTCTGCTTAGACTGCTGCCCC